TAAAACTCTTGACCTCAGGTGATCAACCCGCCTCGGCCTCCCAAAGCGCTGGGATTATAGGCATGAGCCACTGAGCTCGGCTGGTAAGAAGTATGCTTATTCAAGTATAGTCTGTTGGAGGATAGAGAAGAGTGTGATGAATACTGTAATGGAGGATTAGAGTGCTTACATGTTTATGGGAGGATTTAAGATGGATACCTCATCTAGGTTCAGGTAAGTGGAGTCAAGAAGGGCTTCTTGGAGAATGCAACATCTTTGTTCAACCCTTAAATACAAACAGAATTTTAAAAAGAGGTGGGAGAGTGGTGTGGGAACAGAGGCACTGGAAAATTTGGCAATCTGAGGAATGGAGCATTTCAGTATGATGGGATTATGGTGGAAAAGAGGGAGGATAGAGGAAGAAGCTAGTGATGTGATTGGTGCGTTTGGCAGGGACCAGATTTAAAAAGAACTTTTAATCTGGCATTTGTATTTTCTTAAGTGTGCTATGGGAGTGTTTAGATTATTTTAAACAGAGAAGGCAGGAAACTAGAGAATGTTTTGAATAAGATGACTGGGGCTGCAGTGTGGAGAAACGATGGGAAGGTAGAGCACAGTAGAGACAGGGAAAACGATGGTGGCCTGAATTCGGATAGAAGTGGTGGAGCTCAAGAGAAGTTGGTGAGCTTCAGAAATGTTCCAGAAGTAGAAGAGAAGTGCTCTGATGTTTGGTAATGGGGAGAGAGAGAATGGAAGGACTCAAGGTAACTGGTTTTGGTAATGGTTGGCTGGAGGTGCTGCTGTCCAGTGACTTGGGGAACATTTGAGAAGGAAATGGCTTGGGGTGGCGAGGGAAAGATAAAGAGGCCAATTCAGGTTCAGTTTTGGCTGATTATGGGCCATCTAAGAGGAGTAGTCTCATAGGTAATTAGATTCTTAGGCCTCAAGTTCACAATCTATTTGGTTGACTTGTGGATAAAGGAGTCAACAGATGACTGATCTCATGGGAGTGATGAAATCCCCCAGACTATATCTGCAAAAATAATCAAATGTCAAAACTCTGAAGAGCTCCACCACCAGCATTAAAGAAAGAACAGAAGAGGAAAAATCATCAAGGCAATTGAGAAGGAGCAGCCACTTTGGATGGAGGAAAAGCCATAAAGCCTCTATTACAGAAGGAAGGAAAACAGGCTTTGCAGGGAGGGAAAAATTTTTTTTAGGATGTTGGAAAGTTGCATGTTTTTTTGAGAGGTCAAGAAAAGGCTAGAAAGATTACATCAATTAGCACCTTGAAGGTCACCAGTGACCTTGGTGACAGTGGTTTTAGTGGAACAAAATCTAGGTGAGCAAAAGTGGAAGAGGGAAAGGTGAGGTAATAAACACATGTGTTGTGGAATTTTAGCTAGAATAGGAGTCCGGAAGGAGCTGGATAGAGTTTAAGGATGATGTTAGGATTACTATGCAAGAGGATTATGCATGTTTAGAATAAGACTATCTGAAGCAGCTGTCTAATTTTAAAACTTACCCCCATTTTAAAGCCTTCCATTACAATATTCTTTAGGTTTTCTATGTTATGTCTCTCTTCCTTTGCTTTTTAGTATTGAAGCAAGGAACATTTAAGTGAGTGTGGATTTTTTTTTTCCCAACTTGGTAGTGAATCGTCAATTTTTCTCATGAGGTCCCTTTAAAATGTGTAGACAGAGTTGATTTATCTCATATTTCATGAATTCCACTTTAATCTTCAGTGCCCCATTTTTCAAGTTTAAAAATATGAAATAGGCAACCACTTCTTTACTTACATGTGATTCTGAGTATTCTTGTATACAGATTGTATGGAGATAGTTGTTTTGTGGTATCTTGTTATTGACTATTCCAATCCCCATAATTCAGAAGGTTGTATTTGGGCACATTAATTTCAACTTTCAATTAAGTCCACCTTTTTCTTTCTGGAGATGCTGATTAAATTTCTGCAGCCAGTTCCAAATTCATTCTTAAATTGAGAAACACCAAAATGCTGATGCATTCCAAAAGTCCACTCTGGTTTATTAGAACCTTGGTTGGCTTGGCTTCCAGACTCATATTTTTCAATTATTTTCAAGTAGCTGGAAGAAATAAGGAAACATTTACTTCCAGTTGCAAGAAAGTGTCTGAGTGTTGATAACTGATTAATTCATCCATGAACTTTTTGGTTCATATATTACATATAGAAAAAGAGTTATAAAGACTAATTCTATGTGATACTATATGTGCAATTAATACAGTTTATATTTTATTTTTTAAAACTGGCAAACTAAGTTATTTATATTACTGATAAACTTTTTTTTTTTTTTTTTAAGTCTGAGATGGAGTTCTGCTCTGTTGACCAGGCTGGAGTGCAATGGCATGATCTCAGCTCACTGCAACCTCTCTCCCCAGGGTTCAAGCAATTCTCATGTCTCAGCCTACTAAGTAGCTGGGATTGCAGGCACCTGCCACCATGCCCAGCTAATTTTTTTCTTTTTTTCTATTTTTAGTAGAGACAGCGTTTTGCCATGTTGGCCAGGCCGGTTTCAAACTCTTGACCTCAAGTGATCCACCTACCTGGGCCTCCCAAAGTGCTAGGATTACAGGCATGAGCCACCACACCCGGCCCCAATAAACTCTTTAAAATTTGATTTTGACCATTGGAATTCTTTATGTGAATAATCTTTCAGTTAGTTACTGTGATGTCATAACTACCTGTTAAATAGTGTGCTAAGTGCAGTGGTGGAAATTTTAAATAAATTATCTCAAAGTGGCAACAATCATTATCTAAGTCTTAGAGGGGGTTATTTCTTTTTTCAATTTTACAAGTAAGACAGAAAGCTGAAGTGACTTGGGTACGGCTTCCTAGATATCCAAAAATGGATCAAGTCCTTTTGTTGTACATTTTCAATATGCCTTGTACTTCTAATACCTAATATCTACCAGAAGACTGGTTGGTTAATTAATCAAAAGTGATCATTGTTCCTTGACTAGCTTGACTTGAATGTGAAGTCTTTTATAGCGGAGACAATGCCAATTTCATTTACCCTTCTAGCACTAGATCCTGGCATAGAGCCTGCTGACTTGTAGATGCTCATCAAATAAACAACTGATTTGGCATGACATAGCTGGAAAATGGGGAGCTTAAATATAAATGCTGGTCATTCACTTGACTGATGATTTACTATTCAACCCACACATTAAAATTTTCTTTTATTGATATAGTGGCAATCAACACATGAAATTTGCTTAACACATAAATGTATTTTAGGCAGTTCACCCAATAGTCACAACGAATTGTGACCTAATAGCTCATAAACATTTTAAGTCAAATTTATGAAAAACAAAATACCATGAGAATAGGAAAAAGCTAATTTTGTTCATTATAACGTCATGAAATAACTGAGAGCTGGAAGACAATTTAACATCCAAATCATAATCATAAATGTGTGGAAGCAAGATTTGTTTTTCTACCATATTCCTATTGCCTGACAAGTGTCTAGTATACAACAGGTATTCAATAAACGCTAGTTGCATGAATTAATTCCTTTTACAAATGAGAAAACATGCCTAGAGAGGTTATTTGACTTATGGTAGACCTGTAACTAGGGGGCTGATCTCTTGACTGGAAGCCTCTTGCTCCTTCCTTTAAATTAAAATAACATCTAGCATTTGTCTGTAATATTTTTCAGTATTTAACACAATAATCTGAAGAGTTTTACAAGGAGAAAATTATTTTTCTAGAAAATTGAAGCTCAGAGTTAAAGACTTTCTCCACATCACTGGTTCTCAAAGGTGGTCCCTGGCCGGTAACATTAGCATTACCTCAGAACTGAGAACATCACTTTAGAAACACAGATTCTCATGCCTTGTCTCAGACCCACTGAATCAGAAACTCTGGGTGTGGTTTCTTAGCAATCTGTGGTTTAACAAGCCCTCTAGACAATTCTAATCATGGTGCAATTAGGGAACTACCAGTGTTGGGAATGTGACTGTTATGGTTAAACTTGGATTTAGATAAATTACTCTGAAAGCCTCATGGAGAGTAGATTAGAGTAAGGCAAGATGGAAACCTGGAAGTCCATTTACGAAGATAGCTTCTTTTCTCTCTTCTCCTTCACTCCAAAGTGAAGTGAAGGAGAAGAGAAAACACATTTGTTTGCTCTTTCTTTAATATGTCTGTTGACTTGCTACTTTTATTCTATTTTATTTCTAGTTGACAATAATAATTGTATATATTTATGGGGTACAATGTGATGCTTCGATACATGTATACAATTGGAATACTCAAATCAGGCTAATTAACATATTTATCATTTCAAATATTATTTCTTTGTGGTGAGAACATTAAAAATATGCTCTTTTTTTTTTTAAGCTACTTTGAAGTATACAATACATTGTCATTAACTGCAGTCACCATGCTGTGCAGTAGATCAACAGGATTCATTCCTTCTGTCTAACAGGAACTTCGTATCCTTTGCCAACGTCTCCCCTTGCCTGTCTATGCTCCTTCTTTTCTTGATTCTCCTTGGTACAAGGGGAGGGGAGCGAACATTGTGAACGGCTATTAATTATTCTTTACGTACAGTATTTGTAGAATGAAAGGAAGACCATTTTAATCCTTTTTTTTTGCTGATCCCAACTCTATTTAAAGTTATTGAGTTAACATGTTTACAGTGAAAAAACGTGTACTGAAGGGTATTACATGAACTCTTCAAGAAAGTTGAATGTGATTTGAATAATGGTTAAAACCTGGTGCTAATGAAGTCAGGGCTGTAGCCTCAGTTCCTCTATGGATTAATTAACTTCCCCTGTTACAGTATCTTGGAATTCACCACTTAGTGAACTTGGGGTGCCATTCTCTTGGTAATTAAGCAGATCAGGTGAGGCAAAAAAGATGCATGGTTTACTGCAAATTTATTATTCCTTCCAGAAAATGCCTTCAGAAGCCCAGGTGATGTTTTGAAACATTTTATTTACACAAAGACATCAGAGACATATGCTTCTATTCCCTATAGTTACTGTGTCGTGTTTGGATACTTGAAAGAAAATGACACTTTGGAGCCTTAAAAAGTGGACTTTCCTTCTGAAGTACCCAGGAGAGTAGGTAAGAGAATAGATCTTCCTATTCAGAACTTCAGAATGTGTAAGATGTTGGACTAAAACAGTCACAGAAGTCATTGTTTGTGTCCATGAGTCCCTACTGGGTTTTCTGACAGGGACCTCATTTTACAATTGTGGCCATTTGTGCACACTGGCAGATATACCCCTGCCCAGACATGGAACAGGACCTGTTGTATAGCATAAATTTAAGAAGCTCAGTTCTAGCATTTTCCAAGCATTGTTTATTGTATTTCACTCTGGGGCTCTGTTCATTTGTCTGGGCTTCATACTGAAACACAACTAAATTACATATCCATTCTATGTCATCTGTCTTGTTTTCTTGTACTTGAGTTTCTCTTTCGATAATGTGCCTGGTTCTTCCATGATTGGTAAAAATCAATCACTCTGTTCACTCCTTCCCTCCTTCCCTTCCTCCTTCCCTCCCTCCCTCCCTCCCTCCTTCCTTCCTTCGCAAGGAACTACTTCCTTCAACAAAACTACTACTGCCCATGTAAGACACAATGTTAGAAATTCAGCCTGATGAGAGAATTGCTTGAGCCTGAGTTCGAGAGCAGCCTGGGCAACATAGAAAGACCTTGTCTCTACAAAAAACTAAAAACAAAAAGATTAGCCAGGCATAGTGGTGTGTGCCTGTGGTATCAGCTACTCAGGAGGCTGAGGTGGGAAGATCAGTTGAGCCAGGAGGTCAGGCTGCAGTGAGCTGAGATTGTGCCACTGCACTCCAGCCTGGGTGACAGAGCAAGATCTTGTCTCGAGAAAAGAAAAAAAGGAGAGAGAAAATAAAGAAAACAAAAAAAGGAGAGAGGAAAAAGAGAAACAAAATTGACAAACAATCTGCTAGAGTAGAGGAACTAAGAAAAAAAAACACAGAAACAACTCAAATTAAAAATGTTTCAGGAAGTATGGAATTAAAGTGTAGAGCTGTTTTGGTGGTCAAACTTAAGTTCTTATCAGAAAAGAAGACAGTAAAAAAGAAAGAGAGAGAAAATAAAAAAAAAAAAAAAAAAAACTGGGCCTGAGCCATGATCTTGGCAACTAGCCATTTATTACCCCTTCCTTATACACTGGAGGTTTGAAATCTGCTTCCAAACTTCAGTGCCGTGTCTGTGTATTCATGTCTGTTACTGTTGCAGACCTAACTGCCTGGATCTCCAATAGTGCCTCCCCAGGACGCGACAGTCCTACACATGTTGCAACACCTGCATTCCTTCCTGGAGGACCTCTCTGATGGCTGTTCTGGCTTATTGTCTCCAAGCTTTCTCTGCTTCTGACTTTCATCTATTGTCTGCAGCTGAGTGAATATCTGCTCTGCCTGATCCCAATCTCCACTTTGCTCTCAGAATCTCCATCTGAGAGAAGAGGATAGGTTTTGCCAGTTCCTCCTGCCACATCTTGTGTTGAATTATATGTTCAACAAGTAATGATTAATTTCTTATTATTGACCACGTATGGATGTGGGAATAGAAAGAGGAATAAGATAGAAATTCCAGTCTCAGGAGACTGTTACAAATAGAGTAGATTCTCCCTAATTGTGAGGACAAGGATATTTTGCAGTTGAGGTACTTAAGATTTTAGGGGGACAATACAGTTATAGAGGTATTAAATGCAAACTTGATGAATCTTCTTTGTATTATCTCTAAAACAGAACCATCAGTTAACATTTTTCACACCTTAAATTAATAATAATGGTTATGTTACAGTTGCTTTCCATTTACCATCTCTTGCTCTATTGAAATTTCTCAGGGTCTTCCTCTTCTGCCATTTCAGTAAAATGCCCATAAATTTGCTTTGCTTTGCTAAAATAATATACATATAAAAGATCTTTCTCCCTGAATCTGGTTCTCCATCCAAATGTGCAATGCCTTTCTGATTTCATGATTTCGAATTGTTGAGTTCTGCATCCTCAACCCCAGAGATAACTCCCAAAAGTATGTGCCATCAGGCCCCTCTTACACAAATGTCACTTCCCTCCTTCCTTGCAACTGCAGGAGTTCCACTTTAAGGTCCTGGTTGATGTCTCCTCAGATTCCCTAATTTCCTAAAGCCTCAAGGCAAAAACCTCTGTTCCTGTCATGCCATCTGCTTTCCTTTATTTTTTTTATTCTCATCACCCAATTTCCTCTTTTTCTAATTATCCCCAAAAGAAGTGGCTCATAATTCTTTTATACTGGAACTAAAATTGTTGTGGTTTGGAAAAAATATACAAAGCGAAACTGTGTATACTGAAATACCTTGTTTATTAAAATTTGATGTAGAGGCAATTCGTTCATGGGTAGAGGTTACTGTAACTTACCTGAAAAAACTATGCATTAGCTCTTTAAAACAAAGATATTTTTTCTTAATGCAGTGAACAATGTATTAACAAGGTCTAAGGGAGTTAAAAAGTAACTGGTTCTACTTGGGGAAGTTGAGGAAGCTTCCAGGAGAAGGGAATACTGGAACTGAATCCTGGAGAAAGTCACTGAAACAGAACGGAAAGGAAAACCCTTTCTAGGAAAGAGGATACAATATTTGTAATGAGAGGTGATATTTATTATAATTTGTACTTACACAGTTAATGTTACCATAATGTCCCTCTAGAACAGTGATTCTAAATCCAAGGTGATTTTGTCCCCCAGGGGATGTTTGGCAGTGTCTGGAGATATCTTTGACTGTCATAACTAGGGGCAGGGGTGTATGCAATAGCATTTAGTGGAAGGAGGCCAGGGCCAGGGGTGCTGCTAAACATCCTATCATACATGGGACAGAGCTGTAACAAAGACTTACTCACCTCAAATGTCAGTATTGTCACTGCTCTATAAGGTAAGCCCCACAAGGGCTAGAATCACTACTGTGTCTTAAGACCTATCATGGTTACAGTCAGAGTTGGTACTCATTTAACTTTTGCTAAGTGAAGAAAGGCATGAAAGAGAAGGCATGTTTGGGAAAGAGCAATATGTATGTTAGTAGCTGGGGTATAATTAAAGAGCAGTGGGAAAATAAGGCTACTGATGTGATAGAGAAAAATAATGGAGGACACCTTGTGCCATATTGAGGAATCTTCCTTTACTATATTGTCCATGAAGAACCACTGGAGGCCTCTATGTGGGAGAATGACACCAACTGATTTATGTGTTAGTAAGATAACCAAGCAGCAGTGCAGAGTTCAGAGACTTGATAGGCACTTAGAAGGATATTGTAAGAGTGAGGGCCAAGGGATGGTGAGGCCCTAACCTAAAGCTGAAGCAGTAAAGATAGAGAGAAGAAGAGAGATGTTTAGGACCTGGAATTCATAGGACTTGGTGATCAATTAAATATGGAAAGCAGAGTGAGTGTTCTAGCTTAGACTAGTAAGTGGGTGTTGGTATCGTTACTTGGAATGAGGAAGACAGGAGAAGAAACAGGATTTATGTATATGCATGTATATGTACTTGGCTTTGAATATTATTAAAACCTTAGTTTGTATCATTATCAACAGGACTTTTATGTCACCATTACCCAGGTACAGAAGATATCAAGATATATAATTCCAGTTTTAAGGAGCTGACACGTTCATAGCAGCACTGCTTACAGTAGACAAAAAGGTGAATATGGCCCAAATTCCATCAACAGAAGAATGAATAAACAAAGTGTGGCATATCCATACAATGGGACTTTATTCAGCCATAGAAAGGAATAAGGTGGATACATATGCTACAGCATGGATGAACCTTGAAAATTTTAAGTGAAGGAAGCCAGACACAAAAGGTAAGACACTATATAATTCATTTTACATGAAGTATCCAGAATAACTAAGCATACACAGAGACAGAAAACATGTTAGTGGTGGGGAGGTGCTGGTGGGAGGGGATAATTGGGAATAATTGCTTAATTGGGGCAAGGTCTCCTTTGAGGCTGTTGACAATGTTCTGGAACTAGTTAATGGTTACGGTTGCACAGCACTGTCAATGTACTAAATGCCACTGAATTTTACACATTAAGATGGTTGAATACACTTTTTTTTTTTTGAGACGGAGTTTCGCTCTTGTTACCCAGGCTGACGTGCAATGGCGTGATCTCGGCTCACTGCAACCTCCGCCTCCTGGGTTCAGGCAATTCTCCTGCCTCAGCCTCCTGAGTAGCTGGGATTACAGGTACGTGCCACCATGCCCAGCTAATTTTTTGTATTTTTAGTGGAGACGGGGTTTCACCATGTTGACCAGGACGGTCTCGATCTCTTGACCTCGTGATCCACCCACCTCGGCTTCCCAAAGTGCTGGGATTATAGGCGTGAGCCACCACGCCTGGCCCAGTTGAATACACTTTTAAGATGGCTTATGTTATGAACATTTCATGTGAAAAGCAGTTTTAAGGGAAGCACAGAGTCTCATGAGAAGGAAAGATGAGTAAAAATATGGGAAATCAATGTAAGCCATTTATAACGGTCTCAAATAATAAAAAATGTTCTTCAAACTCAAGAAACTGTCTGGATAAAGCCTCACCAGCAATGAAAGCCCATGGCAGGAGCAGGGAATGAGAAAAGATTTAGGAGACCATTTGCTCTGTTTTTACAGTCCTGATGGCCACACTTCATGTGAGAGATAGTGGAGTTATTCCAGAGACATAAAGTGGTTCCATCAATGTCTTGTGACCCGTCAATGGCAGAGGTCTGAAATAGAACAGTTCACCAATTCTTTGAACTTTAATCTTTTCCTTCTAGAGACTTTGTCTCCAAAATATTTGCAGAAAGTAAAGCCAGAAAATGGCAGTGGTAATTAGAAGAATTATAAATATAATAGAAAAAGAATTGTTTAAGAAAGCAGAGTGGAAAATCTTGATACAACTTAAAATTGTAGGCTCTTTAATATCTTGGATGAATTTCTCATACAAATTAAAATTGTAGGATCTTTAATGTTTTACATGAATTTCTCAAAGGAAAAATATTAAGGAATCTCTACTACTTGTTTTTAAAAATGAAGAATGGGCGAAAAATGTACTGTAGGGAATAATAAGAAACTTGCTGAGCAGTCTCACTATTAACCAAAGGTATTTTCCTAAGGTAAGATTACTACATATACACTCTTATTTTCTACATCTCTTTTAAAAAAGAAAATATTATTTCTTGTACGTTTATAATTTCTTTCAAGTAAGATAATGAAGAGCTTGTATCACTGAATAGTTAGGATATCTTCATTTCTCAATATTACCTAACCTACCTCTTTCTCATGTGAATCATTTCTTATTCATTCAGCAACCATGTACTGAATCATAGAAAGTGAGGATGGAAGGATGCTTCAGATGACAATTGCCTTCAAGTTGCTCATAATTTAGAGGGCATGCTTGAAAGATAAATAATGTGAAAAAGATTAGTGATAGAGGTCTTTCTGTGGGAAAACAGAAATAAGTCTTCCAGCTTTGCCTGATAATGTTAAGATGGATCCCCAAGAAGAGAAGATCAATCTTGATGGGTGAGGATTTGTTGGGTTGGCACTCCAGGAAGTAAAGAGGAATATGCAAAATCATGGCATCATGGTTCAATCAGGTGGTTCACTTACTAAGTATGTATTTTATATCCACTATGTCTCAGGCACTGTGATGGGATTTGGGAATCTAAGGCAAGAGGGTTCCTGCAGAAAAGATAGATATTAAACAAGTCTACAGAATAAACTGTAATGAAATATCTTACGGGAAATATGTAGGGTGCTATGGGAGTACATAGTAGGAGTCCTGATCTAGTTATGGGACATAGAGAAGGACTCTGAGGAAGTGACAAACTTAGAACTGCAATGGTGTCATAGCTCAGACTGCTGTATTTTAATAGGCTAGGTGGCTTAAACAACAGACTATTTATTTCTCCCATCCAAGTACTAACCAGGCCCGACCCTGCTTAGCTTCCGAGATCAGACGAGATCGGGCGCGTTCAGGGTGGTATGGCCGTAGACCAGACTATTTATTTCTCACAGTAATGGAGGCTAGGAAGTCCAACATCAGGGTGTCAGCAAATTTAGTTGCCAGTGAGGACTCGACTCTCTTCCTGGCTTGCAGACACACTGTGCCTTTACATGGCAGAGAAAAAGAGACAGAGAGAAAAAAAGAGAAAGAGAGAGAGGGCACACTTTCGTGTCTCCTCTTCTTACAAGGACACTAATCTCATTGTGGGGTCCCTATCCTCATGACCTCATGTAAAAATAATTACATTTCAAAGGCCCCAGTTCCAAATACCATCACATTGAGGGCTTCAACAAATGAATTTTTGAGGGACGCAAACATTCAGTGAATGATAAATGGGTACAAGTTGGTGGAGGGAAGGAAGATGAGTGAGATAGGATTTAATTCATGCAAATATGTTCCAAGTTAGCCGGAGGATAATTAGGGAGGGCCTTGAAAGGCATGTTAGAAATTTATTTTAATGAGAACCCTCTGAAAGTGTTAAATCCTAACCCAAATATGAACTCTAACCTCGCTGTAATTCTAACTCTGATTAGATGTGTGTTTAGAAACACAACTCCAGGTCTAGAGAATGGATTGGAGCAGGTAAGCAGAACTTAAGAGACTCTTCATGATGACAGATGAATTGTGGTAGGGTGTGAGGGTGATGACATTGAGGTTGAAGAGAATTAGGTGAATTTGGGATGTGAGAATCAGGAAAAGAAAGTAATTAAATATGACTACCAGGTTTCTGCCTTGTGGTAACATTTCTGAGAAAGAGAATCCTGGCAGAGCTTGAGGGCTTGAAAATACAGAATTCCCTCTTAGGCATGCTGTATTTGAAATACCTGCATGTAATTCTCTATGGCTTCAACATGGGCTGCCTGTGGGAAAGAATCAGAAAAGAAGTGAAGAAGTAGACACAAGTGCCCATATCATAGAGGCAGTGGGATATATTGGTAGGAATGAGGAGTAATTGAGGGGTTCTCTACAGGGCACTTCTTGGTGTGATTTGTGGTTTAAAACAGTTATTCTGGCAGTGGGAAGGTTGGCTCATGGGGACTAATATTGGATACAGTCAGGTAAGGAGCAGTTGCATCACGAAACATGGTGGTAGTAGGTTAAACAGGGTAAGAATTATATTTCAGAGATAGCTTCATAACATTTGTTGATAGAATATCAGGGTTAAAAGAAGAATTGAGAAAATCTAAATTTTCCATTAAAGTGTTGAATGGATGATAGTTTCAATAACAAAGCAAGAAGGGGAAAGGCAGACTTCTGAATTTGAACTTAGATTTGAACATGAAATGCTTTGCAGAACACACTCCTGACTAGCAGGCAGCAGCTGCTGGCTTCTGTGACATTGCCATGGATAGCTTTATTAATGCCTACTCATTTCGATTTCTCTCTATAACTTCTTTCTTTCTCTTGAATCTTAAGGATAGACTTCTTCTTATCTCCCTACACTACCCCTTGGAGAAAACCTTTTATCAAGGAGATACTGAATATCATCACTGATGTAAGCACTACAACTAAAATAGGTTGACTACTGTTTTATGAACTCAATGATAGCATTATATACACAACTAGCTGGATTTTTTTGTTTTTTTGAGACTGAGTCTCTCTCTGTCACCCAGGCTGGAGTAGAGTGGTGTCATCTCAGCTCACTGCAACTGCCACCTCCCAGGTTCAAGTGATTAAACTTCCTCAGCCTCCCAAGTAGCTGGGATTACAGACGCCCACCACCATGCACAGCTAACTTTTCTATTTTTGCTAGAGATGGGGTTTCACCATGTTGGCCAGGCTCATCTCAAACTCCTGACCTCAGGTGATCTGCCTGCTTCAGCCATATTTTTACTTGGATGCTTTGCCGTTTTCTCAGTTCAACATATTAATATCTCAGCTTTCCAGAACTCTACCATTCTGTCCAGAATCCTTATTTTCACCAAGTCTCTTAGTGCCCTAATGTTCTTGTATTTGCATGCATCTGAAACCTCAAGATCATCTCTGATCCTTTCATAGTCTTCATTCTTCAAATTCAGGAAATCATGAAGTTCTTTTTTTTTTTTTTTCTTTTAAGATGCCTCTTATTTCAATCCTTCTTGTGTTGCTGCCCCTGATATTCTAGCTAATAGATAAATAAAAAAAACATTCATTAAGACCCTACCATGTGCCAGGTAATCAAAGAAGCTCAGAGTGCAGTGCTAATAAATGGACAAATGCATAAACCAACAGCTACTGTTTAATATGATATGGAATCCTCATAGAGTACAGTGTACAGTGGAAGCACCAATGAGAGAGTGATTAATTTAAACTATGAAAATCAAGGAAAAATATACAAGGTATGGCATTTAGAATCCACTATTCATAGTTAGTATGGCCAGAGTACAAATTGTGATTCAGAAAGTTACAGAAAATAAGGCTGTAAAGGGATCAAATAGATAATACTAATCAAGAAATGCATCACACCACACCCAGATTGTTGTCCCAAATTTTTAGCTGCTTTTGATGTCTCTAGTTTCCCTTCACCAGTTTAACAAGAATTTATTTTAAAGCATATTTACAATGAATTTTCAAAGCACTGTCATGTACGTCACCCATTTAACCATTACAACACTTCCTAGAGGTAGTATGCTCAAGCCAGTAACTTTCTCGACATTACATAGCCAAGTTTGAACTCTAGGTTTCTAAATTAAATCGCCAAATACTTGCCATTTATCTATGCATTTTGAGTATTTCTGCCAAAATGTCTATGC